AGAAAAAAAAAGTTCTTCTCGCGTATAGTCCTTTTTTTTATTAAAACTGATAAACGCGTCTGACAGTTTTTATTTCACGATTATTAATTTCTATTCGTCATCAATGTTCCCGAACACCAGTCGTTCGTTTGATATTATCAACGATGTTGGTTCACTCATGGGGTGGAATCGAGGGGGCGGGGGTCGAGCCGGGTTGGCGCGGCATTGTCGAGTGGAAAGGGGTCCAATCAATCAGCCGCAAATCAGTATGCACGGCACGTTCGCCTAATGCCGCCACTCTTTCATCATATTCATTTGATCGCGACCCCCTCAGCCTGTGCACGCAATCGTTAATGGCGCTGTTTAAAGATCGCAACCGATCGATGTTGGGTCCTCGCGAGCGTCCGCGAAGAAGGGACACGAACGTGTGCAGTCTGGTTAAAAATTACGTTTCTCTTTGTAGTCATGCGCCAATAGGTACGCCATTTAACAGAAACGAGAAGTGCATGGTGAACGAGAGAGTATAGATGTTTAAGCAAAAGAGCGCGCACCGCGCGCCAAGTATTACATTTTCAATTCTATAGATACAAATTTTTCATTGTAATCGTAAATAAATTATTTCTTTATCCGTTTTTACAATCCTTTTTTTTTTCGCAAACGTAAAAATGACAACAATATAAACGTAACAATTACGACAATTTCACCGAGATACCTGCAATAAATCATTCCATAAGCCAAGAACATGCGTTTTATAATAACCGCGAGCTATACGTGTCCAAGAGAGTCTCGTAATAAACGAAAGAGAAATCAAAATATTCCCGGTGTTTTTATTACGAGCGGCAGTTATACACGTCGTGATATAATGATATACCTACGTGCGCACGGTCGATATATATACGTACGCTACACGCGTTTTCGTGGCTTCGCGAAACGACCGGCTGCCATTCGTAAAGCGTTAAACAGATTACAGACGGCAGACGGTGCGATGCCACGAGGCAAATACGTCTTTGGCTCTCCGACTGGCGTGAGATCGAGATGGCAGGAGGCAGAGAACCGGGCAAATACGTAATCCGGATTATCGTGGATCCGCTTACCTTACCGGACACTTGCGCGCTGTGGAACGATACGGCGCCGATACCGGTGCCGGCTTCTCACTCCCTTCCTGCTCTATCCCCCCTGCCCCCTCGACACT